CCATGGTCCTAATCATCCTCTATGCAAACCTGCTGGGTAACGCCACAAGGAACCCAAGAAGGGCTCCCACAGAACATACATTAACATCCCACAGCACTGCTTCTCTTCTCTGTGCACAGTAAGCCTATCCAGGGAGGAATGGGGACCCATGTCCAAGCTATCAAAACTTGATAAGAGTTGTTGACTGAGATTGCAGGAGAAAAAGTACCAGAGAGGAAAGAGCCAGTGGAGATGGCAGTGTGGGAAATGTGAATCTCCTAATTCCCTACAAAAGTCCACAGTCTAGCCCCTCTACCAAACAAGGGGTATGGAGACCAGAGGACCTCCAATACTGAGAAGCTACCCCAGCATGATGGGCTCTCAGTTGTGTTGGATTTAATGTCAAGGGATAGAGGAACAGAGGAGACATTTCCTCTCTGTGTGTCTGAAACTGTAGCTGCTACTGACTTGGGTAATAACAGCATAACTTCATGATGCTGAAGGGTCCTCGTGTGTCACTCTCAGAATAGAGAAGTGTCGTGGTACTCTATAAAGGCCCTGCACAAGGTACTGGCTGCCACTAAGGTATGCAAACAGTCCAGTCCTACAACCTACAGTTGTACCTAGAAATCTGGGTTCCCTTCTTCATGTTCCTTATCTGGGGCTTGGTTTCTGGGGCAATTAGCATGTGCTTTGGGTGAGTCAACAATTTTCAGGTCCTTATCAGAGCTGAGTCAGGAGGGCACTGTGCTCAGTGTGTGTGTGTGTGTGTGTGTGTGTGTGTGTGTGTGTGTGTGTGTGTGTGTGCAACCCTAGGTGCCTCTTACCACAAATCCTCCTAGTGTGAACTCTGGTGACCTCTAGACATGCATCATCACTAAGAAGGCTGCACTCACCTCAGCCTGAGACTCTTCCCAGTTTTTGCCAGAGGTCTGGGAGGTCACCAGCACCTTCTAGAAAGGAGGTTCTGCCAGATTCACACATGGCTGTTATTTTAAATGTTGTTTGTTTGAATGTTTGGATTCAGAATCACTGACAACTATAAGATGAAAAAGACGTGTCCCATCCCTTCTATCCTTCCCAGGCCTGTCTCATCCACAGGGGCAGCAAATGACAGAGTCTGACTTATAGTGCCCAGGATTACTCAAGAAGAGAAGTGTGATCTGGGTGTAGTTACACAACTGCAAATTAAGCACCCAGGAGGTTGAGACAGGAGGATCTCCAACTGTAAGACCAGTCTGGGCTACCGAGGAAGACCTCGGGTCAAGAAAATAAAGAACAAACAAACAAGCAAACAAAGGAAAGCAGTCAATGAAATTTCTTCATTTGTGTTCGATTTTACCAGTTGGTCATAAACGCTGTCCCTGTTCTGGGTTATGGCCTACAGCCTCTAGTGGGAAGGACAGGTTACCAGGTTTCATGTGAACTTTATAGAGAGCTTTTCTGTGAGGATGAAACATTGTGCATGCAGCTAGGCTACATGGGATAATGTTCAGTGTGACCGAATAGTCCCTATACTGGCTCCCATAGAGTTGATGAAAAGGAGACTGTGTCATTGGCACATATGTGGCTCTGTGCAGGAAGCTCATAGGGCTGAGTAATATCTTTGAGTCCCATGGTGCCTAAATGAGTCTGGTGAATGGACTAGACCTGGAGGTACCTCAATGAAGACTGTAAGGCAGAAAATATGTAAAGGCTGTGTTTTCAGTCTAGGGTCTTTGATGAGGCCAAGAAGAGGGTAGAAAGGACAGAGCAACCAAAATGGCTGATTGGGCAGACTAACCCATTTGTCACCTCTTTATTTCCAGGCCAGGACTCATGCAGGCCCATCAGGAACACCCACACCAGACAGGTGCAGGGTAGCCTTGTCCACTTGGAGGATATCAACATGGGAGTCCACACCTTCCTGGGAATTCCCTTTGCCAAGCCACCTGTAGGACTTCTGCGGTTTGCTCCTCCTGAGCCCCCTGAACCGTGGAATGGTGTGAAGTATGGAACTTCTTATCCTGCCATGTAAGCTCTTCTGGGGCCCAGTAGACTCCAGGCCCGGGAGTGGGCTTGTTGTGAGTGATGTCCCAGCTGCACTGGTTCCAACCTCTCAATTCCACATCCTGTTCCCCTTCTTCATGGAGTAGGGGGATTCCCACTACATTTTCCCAAGGGCCTGCTCAGATTCTGAATGGAACAGCCAGTTACAGGCTCAAGGTTCAGTGCTTGGCACCCACAAGAAGCTACCCTTGAGTACTGCAGATGGGAGCACAGGCACATTTGTCCTGAGAGTCAGGTTATGTCCTGTGTCTCTGACACTAGGGGAAATGTCTCTGGGAGGAGATCAGGCTCCATCACTTAACCAGAAAAAGAACTCCTGAGTTTTATCACAGAGACTGAAAAGTCCTAAACAGTGAAGCAATGGCCCCCAAGGACTGCACCCTCCACAGTCACTGTGCCAACCATATGAGCAGATGTCATTTGACAAGAGCAAGTGCATGTGCTGACAATGAGGAGGCCTGTGGGAGAGATGTGGAACCCTGAAAATGGAGACTTTAGATGAAGGAGGTCTTACTACCTTGTGGAAAACTAATTCATATTCGTTTATGCAATAGCACTGTAGGGGCAACTCACCTGTTTCAAGCCTAATGGAGACTGAGAAAAGTGGTAAAAATGTCAAAACCCATAGTTAAAGGCTGCCATGGAGACTCACAGGGCCCTCAACTTCCTGACTTCCCAACAAGTAGGACATAAGATCACCCAAGTATCTAGTTGGAGGTCTGGGCTCCATTCCAGCTTTCCCAGAGCTTGTGGACTTTATCTGTGGAGGAGTGACTTTATTTGTTTATTTATTTATTTATTTATTTATTTAATCATTTATTTGTTTGTTTGTTTGTTTGTTTGTTTAGTGTACTTGGGTGTTTTAATGCATGTATGCCTTTGCTTCATGTGCATTCAGTGCCCTCAGATCCCCTGAGACTTGAGTTACAGGTGTTGTGAGCTGTTATGTGGTTATGTGGGTTCTGGGGATCTAATCTGGGTCCTCTGGAAGAGCAGTCAGTGCTCTTAACCACTGAGCTATCACTCCAGCCCCAAGAGGGACTTTAGCAAGTGACCGCATATTTCTAGCAGTTTTCTAGGAGCAAATCTGCCCAGGTTCTGGCTCTAACTAATACTCAGTCCTTGGAATAGTTAATTGGTTATCATTGTCAATAGGTGTCATAGCAAGACATATGCTCCCATTGCTGCAATATCTCCTAATAAAGGAATAAAGGATGGTCAAGATGGAATGGCCTTTTTAGTTTTAGCTGCATCACTTTTTTAAGTTGATAAACTCCTGATGCAACCACATCAAATCTAAGGAGTCCTTAGCATCACCATACCATGGTTCATTAACATTAACAGGTTAACATTATAATTCTAGTGTGAATATTACTATACACAATTAAAATTCTCACAAATTTACATCCAAAAGCCAACTCATAATAGAACTATCTACACTTCATTAACTTTAGCAAACATCCGAAAGCAATTTCTTAATAGAACCTTTTGTATTTCTTGCTAACAAAACATGGGGTACATTAATACAGGCTAACATTATCCATACAAAGAACAAGAAAATGTTTTTTGCATTTGAGCTGCTCCATTACAGCAGCAAAATCTTTTATTCCAACCATACTCATCAGTTCTATTTTTTAATTAAAGAGACTGTGGAGTATAAAAACTTCCCCTTATTATATATTTTTTGAAGCTTCATCTTGAGCCTGGATAGAAAAAAACTGAAACGTCTCCATTTCTACACAGAACAGTTCCTTTTCTAAACAGTTCCTTTCTTACACAAACCAGTCCATGAGTCACCACAGTTAACAAAGCATATATGCATACACAAAACAGTTGCATTGCAACAGAACCACTCCTGTCCATCCTATTTCTTAAGTCTGAAAAGTTCAACAAGCCCGTTCTAATACCAGTCTTAACATCCTACTGAAAGCTCAAGATCAGGGCCTGGCTCTTCAGCTTCTCTGAAGTCTTTGTATAGCTGTCCATGTCATAATGAATTTGAAGTGAAAAGCTCCCAATATGAAGCAACTCACAACCCAAAATGTGTTGCAGTTCCCTTGAATGCAACAACCCGGTCCAAACAAGAGTCTCTAAAACTTCGCTCTCAGCTCTAGTTACCTGCCTTGCCTGTGGCCTTGCATCCTTTGTGCACTGCCTTGCTTGCACAGCCAAATGCCGCCCTCAGGGCAGCTCCATCGCTCTGCCTCACCCTGCCACTGGGAGCTCCTGGCTGGCCTGGCTTTCAGTGCATCTCCGAGGTTCAGCCTGGAGCATGGCTCTGCCTCACTTAGCAGTTCCTGCTCTGCATTGCAGGACCCTCTGCTCTCCATTGCAGGGAGGATTTCAAGACCTCCACTGTCCTCTCCACACCTGGGCACATCTCATCTGGGTGTTCTGTCAGCCAGCCCTCGGGTCCGCAGCACTACCTCCACCACTGTTTCACCCTCGAGGGATGCTGCCTCATCTTTACAGGGACCCTGGTCTCCCCGGAACACACTCAGACTTGGAGGCACCTGCTCCCTGGCTCTCCTGATGTGCTCCCCATGGACATTTTCCCCCCAGAAGCTTTGTCTCTCATGCAGCGGCCAAGGTGCCCTGCTCACTCACCCTCCAGCTGCCCACTTGGCTCTCCATGTGAGCTCTCCCAGGGCATTTCTGCTCGGCTCATCAAGGTTGCAGAGCATAGCCTCCAGCCATGTCAGTCCTCATAAACACCCTAGCTGACTGTGCTCTCCTCACTGTGGCTCTTCCATGGCAGAAAGCACACAGACACTCCTCGCTACTTGTGCTGGCTCTCTCAGCATCCGCTGCCTGTAACTTGCTGATGCCTCGTGCGTCTCAGTGATACTGATGCTAGGTCAGCTGCTGCTCTTGTTGCTGCTGCTTACAGTAGGGGCTCCTGAAGCCACTCTCAGACTGCCAAGTCTGCAGTAGCTGCTTGGTCCTGGACTCTGATTTCTGCATCTCAGGCCCCATGCTGGGCAAAACCTACTCTACTCTAAGTTACTTTCTTTCTTTTTTTTTTTTTTAAAGATTTATTTATTTATTATGCATACAATGTTCTGTCTGCATGTATGACTGCAGGCCAGAAGAGGGCACCAGATCTCATTACAGATGGTTGTGAGCCACCATGTGGTTGCTGGGAATTGAACTCAGGACCTCTGGAAGAGCAGCCAGCGCTCTTAACCTCTGAGCCATCTCTCCAGCCCTCTAAGTTACTTTCTATTAAACCTTCACAATATTCCTTTACCTAACTTTTGTGACTTACTTATATATAACTTTACTCCTAAATATATATATATATATTTGCTGGAACCTATTATTACCCTGTTCTATATTTACAATTTTACTCCCAAAGTGAAGAAAATCACTGTACCCCAATAATTTTTTGAGCATACCCACTTATCCTGTGGTGTTCCTTCTCTTTATCCTCCATACCCAAGCTTCACATTCAGTTGCCATATGGGAGCCCATGGGAGACCAGCTCCCACCTTTCCCCATCTTTTGATGAGTTCTTAGGTGGAGGAGAGAGGGATAAGGAAATATTAGGTAGAAAGATAGAAATATAGATGGAGAGAAAAGACAGAGACACAGGATAGCTAAGGGAGGACCCTGGGTCAATACCCACTTGCCCAGTCCTTTATTCAAATGGGCTTTTTATAATATGTTAGGGGAAGAGGCAAAAGACTTTCTCCTTGCAAGATCAAAGCACAGTGTACAGCCAAGTGTAAACCCTTCCAAACACCTGGTAAACACACCTGTGGTCAAATCATCTCCTTATGCAGCCCTGCTGGGTAAAGCAAGCTCAGATTCTCTGACCTTGAGTAAGGTCTCACAAAGAGACACCTTTGTGACACCTAAAATGAATCCCCTCATGACAATGTATTCGTGTGAGCAGCAATGGATATCAAGCTTCCTTCATCCCCCACTGTACCCGCATCTCTTACTCCCTTCTTTACCTCAGCTCCTCCTCATCCTCTTTCTCCTTTTCTCCAAGTTCCAAATCTCTTCATGTGAATCAGAAGCTTTGTAGAAGATTGACTACACTGGAGTCTCTCAGCAAGCCCTCTATTTCTTACATCTATAAGTGGCTTATGGAACACCTACCTCATTAACCACAGCCCTAGTATCTTAATAATTTTCAAATGTCAAAAACAATTCATGATTAGCTGTAATCTGAGTGCTGTGGTAGATATAATCCCATATACAAGTGAAACTGAGGGAAGAAGATTTCATGAGCTCAAGAGTAAATCTGTTCCATAAGGACGTGTATCTAAATACACATGAGTGCAATACATATACATGTGAGTATGAATCATGAGCTATATGGCCTATAAACAGAAATTTGCTCCCAAGATTGGTGACCATGAAGTTCATGGTCATGATGCCAGCCTATTTTCTATGTGGTGAGGGCTAAATCTCTGGGTCAAACATTGCTGATGTTTGGTCCCTAATCAGAAGACACAATTGTGCTCATGACATGGCCACTAACTAAAGGTCCCAGTCAATAATATCATCACACTGGACAATAGGCTTCAATATATAAATATGAGGCATAAATTTTTTAGAACAAGCACCTAAAAGTCCCATACTAACTACCAAAGTAGCGAACAACTGAAAATGTCTCCATCTAGCTCTGTAAATTAAATATTATCTATAATTGGCATTCAAAATAATTCATCTATTTCTCTTCCAAAGTGGTTTCTTAAAATGAGAAACAGGTCTAGGCATGTCCATTAGCACTTCAAGTGGTGAGGTGAGGCTACAGAAGAACTTTGTTGTTGTTGTTGTCTGCTGAGTATTGATGTATATGGAAATTTCAATAAACACTCCATACACACAGAAATGCACCAAGCAGCATTTTATCTTGGAAAAGCATCAATGCATGTCCTTTGAATGGTGTTCTGTAAGAGACAGAAGACATTTCCCCTTGACATGATGTCGGAGCACAGCTTTGAATGAAG